AGAGAGGTATCAGAATTGGAATTGAAGAGACAAATCTTTCATTATTTGAGGTCAATGTGACTGTCTCCATAAAAAACATCTTAGGGCATCTGTAGGTAAACTATTAGAACTAGCAAAGGAATTATGTGGAATAGCCAGACAAAATCAATTTATAAAGATCAGTAGCATTTGTACAGATCAACACTGATCAATTTAAACAATAACTCTGAAAAAGTCTATTCCCCAGGGAAAAAAAATTACATAGGAATAAATCTAAGAAAAGATGTGTTAAGATCTTTCAAAGAGAAAACCATCACTTATAAAAAGGACATTAAAGTAGACTTGGATAACTGGAGATAAAGAATGTCCATGGATAGGAACAGTCAGAACAACTCTGAAGACACATAACGGGTGGGCAGAGACAAGCCCTCTAAGACATCAAGATGTGAAGGCCATGGTATCGATGGTACGGTCTCAGCACAGGACAGGCAGAAAGAAATCAAGGAATAGACCCATACACAAATGAAAACTTGACAAATGAGAGATAACATTACAATTGTGCTGGGCAAAGCAACCACAGCACAGCCATTACAATTAGTGGGGAAATGCTGGGTCATTCAATAACCTGTGCTAAGACAACTGGTAACCCACATGGACAATATGAGGAATTTCATACCAGAAACAAAAACAATTTCAAAGTGGACTAATGAGCCAAACTGAAAGGCAAAATAATGAAATTTTTAGAGAAAAATATTTTTATGACACCAGACAGAGAATTTACTGGGAAAGACAGAAAAGCTACAACTAGAGATTCAATAAAACTTTGGTAGAACACTACCACACATAAAAGACACCATAAACAAAGTTAGAAGATGCAGACTGGGAAAAGATATTATTTTCCCATATATATCTAAACTAATATGTATCTGGAATATTACTATCATTAAGAATGCTTAAAAATCAATGCAAAATAAAAATCACCAAAAAAGCAAATTGGGAAAAATTCAGATAGATAATTTTCTTAAGAGGAAACATGGGTTAATAATAAAAATATGCTTGTTTAACCTCACCAGAATAGAGAGAAATCAGAATCAAAGTCATGATTTACTTGTCATTCATATAGGGATGGAGACATACATATGCATATATAATATATTTAAGTGGCAACACTAGGGTCTCTCCAAAAAAGGATTACCCCAGTTTGAAGCGGCTTCTGTAGCTGGTAGGCTGATCTGACTTGTTGAATTTGAACAGGAGTAGAAAAGGAGGAGAAAGAATTGGAGAAAACAGGGCAAAGAGGCCACAGTGCAGCAGACTATACTCCCAGCCTCCCTCTGGGTGAAGCAAACACCCAGCTGGGCCTGAGCCTTCTTTTCAATATTCAATCCAAGAGGGTTGTGTACCGTGCGAAGAGATGCCTACAGTGAGAGGCCGTGGGGAGTGCCATACCAAGGCAGGGGTTGAATGAGAGCTAAAAGCTGGAACCAGTGAGAAAAACATGCATTATTTCTGCTATAGTTAACAGTATGTTTCGTGATGCCTATTAGTACTCGTATCTTTATAAATACATGACTGTTTTTCTGATTCCCTTTTAACTTCTTACACCTGCTTGTTTTACCCCCAGATGGATTTTAAAGCACTCTGTCAGACTGCAAAATAAAATTGCATTGTTTTTTTCAACTGGAAAGAAATATCTGCCGAGGACAAGGATTTGGGGAGAGTGTAGGGAAATGTGAACTCCTAACCACTGCTACGAGGAATGGAATTTGGCACATACAGTGGAGATCAATTTGGCAGTATCTGGCAAATTTGAAGATAATAATATCTTACTGGCCAGTGACTGAACTTGTAGATACTTATCTAAGAGAAACACTCACACACATGCACAAGGAAACATATCAAGTATTTCACTGCAGCATTGTTTATAATAGACAAATATTGGAAACAACTGAAATGTGCATCAACAAGAAAATGGATAAACTATGATATACTCAATGAACTATACAGCATTTAAAATGAGTAATTTAGAGAAACATGTAACACAAGTACATCTCAAAAACATGAGTGGGAAAAAACAAGTCCCTGAAGATTACGTACAGTAAAATACCATTTCATATAAAGTTTCAAAAACATAAAAATCACCCTATATATGCACACATATAGTAAGCATTTAGAATCATTCATGGTATCATTCTGGCAAACATCAAATTCAGAGCAGCAGTTACCCTTGGGGGTGAAGAGAGAGACGGAATGATATAGGACTACATAGATTTCAACTATAGCTATAATCGTTTCTCTCTAAAAGAAACAAGCAACTATGTGTAAAATGATTAAAACTGTGAAAGCTGGATACTGGATACACAGGTTATTTGTTATATGGTTTTCCATATTTTTTCTATATATTTGCAATGTTTCACCAAAAAGGCACAATATAAATACTAGCAATTTCGTTAATGTTTGCTGACAACTAAGTGGATCTAAGTGAATGAACAAATTAATATACAAGATGGGGATAATTATTTCCAAGTGTAGGAAGATTATTGATTTCTCTAAGGCTAACATTTACTAATACTTAACTATGTGCCAGGCACTGTGGGAAGTAGTTTTCATGCATTAACTTATTTAATATCCTCCATTATCCTTATGAAGATGATACTACTATTACCCACACTTTACATTCTAAAAAACTGAGGCTAAAGGTGGAAAGGTAGAGTCCCTGGTCACACAGCTAGTCAGCAGCAGAGCCAGGACATAAAGCCACGTGTGCCCAAGTCCAAAATCTCTGCACTCTATTATACTGTGCAAGTTTTCACCTTCACTAAATGATTCAAGATGAAAAAGCTACACAAATTTATCAACAGTAAAAATGGGAAAGATGCAAATAACTAAGAATTTTTAGAGGATCTGCATGTGAGGAAGCTAACTGAGTAAACACAATTAAAAGTGAATCAAACTGCACCTGAGTCCAAAGACATAATGAAAATATAGACCATGTGGAGAGAGATTCTAACCAGAAAGTTAATGCTGGCAAAAAATCAGTGATCCTTAAGACCAAAAACAGACACAACAAAGATACAGCCCTTTGATAAGAGTCCTCAGATTGCAGACGGACTTCTAGGTCTTTTCATCCGTTGTCCTGGGCACATCTTAGCTCTTCAAGACTCACCCTTTCTGACTCATTCAGGCTCTACACTGAGTTCTTCTTTGTCTAAATCTGACTGGTCTGGCACTAACCATGACTTTTGATTGGTATTTTCTACAGCACCGAGTCATCAACTATTTCAAGCAGTGTATTTTATTTAAGTAGAAATTGTATCTCAAGATGTTTTAGTTGGCACTATTTGGAAACCAGTAACAGCCTCTTGAGTTTAAGAAATACCTAAGGTAAAAGTGAGGTCTCTGGAAGGTTTTGAGATTATCTCATGAGAACCCAGGAGCAGGAAATGAACAGGCATAAAAAATTGGAATAAAAGCACAAAGTATCAGGAATCAAAGCAGCTGTTCTCTTCATCTTTTTCTTCTGGCATTGTACAGTCTCTCATCTTTTATTCCTTCTGCTTCACATGTAGGTTCCAAATGCAACTTCCCAAGACATTCGTTTTCCAATTCAAACTCTTGGGAGAAAACATCTAGTTGGCTCAAATTTGACCAGATATCCACTCCTTGTCCAATCATCTAAACAGCTCGCCCCTGAAGGTGGCAAAAAGTAGTATTCAGAAAATGGGACCTAAGTTGGGCAGATATCCTAAGAGCTATACCCTATTTTTGGAGAAATAATTTGTGCTTCATTCTTATTCCTTTCTGATGACGCAGTCACTTCAGACACATTGTTCACTATCAATTTAGATTCTATAGCACTCTTCAGACCTTGGCACTGAAAACTTCCCCTCATTCTCAAGATGAGAATCAGTGCATGAGCCATGTTTAAACGATGGACACCCCTTCACTACAGAAAAGTGAAATCCTCAGAGTTAAAGAACAGACGTCTGGGGGATGCAGGGAGGAGATGCCATTTATTCTCTGCTTACACTTTAACCCTCCCAACAATCCTACTGATACTACTGTTATCCCCTTTTTATGGGTGATGAAAATTAGGTGTTAAAGGCAAGAAACCTACCCAATATCACATCTAATATGCAGCTTAATAGGGACTTAGGAGAGGCAATGTTGTTAAACAGCTCGGCGGTGGGGAGAGGAAAGCCAAAAGAAAGGGAGACTTCTTTTTCAGTTTATCATGTATCTTAAATTTATAATAAAATGGTATAAATGTTACATATCAGCAAATTATGCAGTTTTTTTCTAAATTTCAACTCCAATTTTGATATGCATTTTTCAAGGCAAATAAGTTACCTCTGAGTAACTCAGAGGCCAAATTCCTTTATACTCTTTATTTTCTCAGGAACTTTTTCAACTATTTTGTTAATCCTGACTGAGCTGTACCTCTGCCCGTCTTTCTTCTTTTCACCACTAAACTTACGAATAGCCTATGCTGCTTGTCTCCATAGCCTCTTTCCCTGTGTCATCTTTGACCCAAATTACTCTAACCAAGATCAGCTGACAACTCATTGCCAGGCCAAATCTTTCTCTCTTCATCCGACCGAACCTCTCGACTGCCTCTGTCGCCCCCATCTTGACACTCAGTTTCTGTCAGCCTCCTTAACAGCTCTTCTTCCTCCACCAATTCCCTAAGTGTGGCCATTTTCCAAGGTTCAGGGCCCAGTTCAAACAGATCGCCAACGTAGAGTTTATATTGTTTGAACATTAGGCTACTATGAACTAAATGCAGATTTTCTAAGAAAGCCTGTGATCCCATAAACATTAGGAATCACGGGTAAAGATTAAACTCTGAACTCCTTCTCGGTGTGACAGCCCCTCCTCCAATATATCCCCACGCTATCTCACAATTCCCCATCAGCCAAAGCAAATCGAATTGAGCCATTTCCTCTGCCTGAATTTTTCAGACTCCTCCATGCAGAATTCTCCCTCATTTATAGAGCACTTTGTATCTGCCACTAGCACATATGCACAATATATATGATTATATAAAAATCTGTCTGAACAAGACAGGGGGCAAATCAGTATTATCTGTCTCCCAACACAAAATAAAAAAGATGATTTTACTAAATATGTTCTCTGGTGGCTCAGGCGGTAAAGAATCTGTCTACAATGCGGGAGACCTGGGTTTGATCCCTGTGTCGGGAAGATTCCCTGGAGAAGGAAATGGCAACCCACTCCAGTACTCTTGCCTAGAAAATCCCATGGACAGAGGAGCCTGGTGTCCATGGGGTCGCAAAGAGTTGGACATGACTGAGCAAATTCACTAAATATCAAATTTTGTTTCCAAGGTATCAACCAATTTTATTTTGTACTGATTATCGGACTATAAAAGACTTACTTCTTACTCACTCATGGCAGAAAGTTTTAAAAATACTATGTAGTGAAACAAATTGTTCTTACATTGAAAACAATTATCTACTTAATTAAAACTGAAAACCAAACTGCCTACTAGTAGGGTAGCATGACCAACACATATGTTTTAAAACCAAATGTTAGTAATAATCTCACATTTTAAACAATACTGAGTGAAATTTTTAATAAGACAGATATCTTCAAGTAATAGGATCCTAACTACAATTAAGATACAAGGGGACACTTGTTCTACTTAAGATTCTAACTCAGGAGTGTTTATTAGAGCTACTTGATGAGTTGTTAAAAATATAGTTGACCCTTGAACACGGGGGTTAATCCACGTTACTTACAATTGGCCCTCTCTATGACTGATTTGTAATGTGTGGACGACCAACCAGACTGTACTGTAATATTTACAACTGAGAAATAGCCACTTATAAGCAGACCCCTGCAGTTCAAACCCACCGCCATTCAATGGTCATGTGTATGTACTCTCCATCTCCAGATATGTAGATTTAGATCAGGGATGAAGTTAGGCCTGTGGATTGTTAAAATACTCCCGGCATTTTCTGATGAATACTATTTTCTATGAAATATGTTTGACATGCCTTCACCTTAAATGTATTTTTACTACTTAGAATGTCTTTTCACTATTCTGAAATAATTTAAGCATCTTCAATATTTTGCCTAAAGTTACTTACAGGGCACCTGACTTTTTGCAATTGAGGTACTTTTCTAAAGCTTTATGTTCTTTAAGTTAAGTGAATTACTTCTCAGCCATTAAGTATCAATCTACAGAAAATAAAATTTTCTCAAGTGGTATTTTCTTTAAATTGAGGTATAGTGTATAGACACTTAGTCCACTAAATGAGTATGTTCTGATAAATAGGGATTATTTGTATGTAAATATAATGAGTATGTACTAACTCTAGCCTTGACAAAAACAAAGCAATTGCTGAAAACACCTATTGAAGAACAAACTTACACTAAAACATTACACCCATACATAATACTAATAGATTTTATTTAACTAGAAAAAAATTACTTTAGAGTAATTCTTCAAATATTAAGTTTCCAGAGTGTATTAAACATGTTTTCTATTAAAAAAACAGAAATATTTAAAGCCACCCTGGCTGAGGTTGAATACTAACTTTCATTTCTTTGTTAGGCAAACACCCAAAACTTACTGGTATATTCCAGGCAGGTTCTCAAAAAAAATCTAAAAATTTATTTAAATAATTTTTAAGACTACTTACATTGCATTCATGCTCTAAGAAGTGATAAATTTTGCTTGGAAACTCAGATTGAAAACTCTCTATAAACGTATTGTAAATTTTAAGTGTTAAAAACAGCCCCAGAAATTAATACAACATTGTAAATTACCCTCCAATTAAAAAAAAAACAAAAAATCAACAACAACAGCTCTACCATCACCCTAAAAAAGTTTTTTAATCTCCTGATTTAATGTGTGTTTTTCACAAGTCAGCAACCTTCTCACATAATCCTCTTCACACACTCAACATAATTTTTTAAATTCTAAAAATTATTAAAGGAGTTTAAAGATTCAAATTCTAACCATGTAACTTCAAAATAAATGTACATTAATTACCACTATTTCAAGTAATACTTCTTATCCGAATCACAAGCTTAAGTCTCACATTTAGAAAAACTTTTGCTTTTATGTGTATCTAGTGTTGTCCTAAGCACTCAAAAATATTAGTATTACTGACAGTATCAGATTGGGCCTGGAAAACAAACAATGGAGATCTTTAACCCTACTCTATACATGTAGAAAGTAACTGGATATTTTATTTTAAAATATCTAAAATATTCACATTAATATCCTGTTTTTCCTTCCCTCTTACCCTGCCTTTATGATTAAATATATATAAATTAAAAAACCTTTTCAAATAACTCCTGTCACGGTTACCAAAGATGTTGTATGTTATCATTTTTAAGAATCTTCAAGTAAACTCAAATTTTTGATAAATCAAAACATTCTGCATTGCTTTAACAGGGGAAACAAAAAACAAGGTTTGCAAAATGGATTGATAAAATTGCTATGAATCAATGTGGGCTAAGAGTTAAAGATTTTTCTCAGAAGTTCTATTTAAAAGCTTATTCTTAGATGAAAAAAGAAGTGATCTCCAGGAGCCTCTACTCTTCCGTTTTAAGTAAATATATGTCTACAATAACTTCAGTGTGTCTGAAATCAAGAATCTGCAAATAAAATGCTAAGAAAAATAAACCACACCCGTTTTCTCACCCCATACCACTGCAATTATTTTAAATGCACAGGAATACAACAAACTCAAAAGAAAAAAAAATAGTGTTTTATTAACTACCACACTGTTATAATACACTTTAAACGTACAATAAGGTAGCCTTTAAATTTGAGGTGGTCTTAAGAATAACAAATGAACAGAATTCCAAATTTTTGAAATAGGTGAACTGCTGCAGTTATAGGTATACATTTAAGAAAATTGTATAGCTCTTACAAGACCAGCAATGAAACTTTATTTTGTACATTTTTAATAATTGAAAATATAAACAATAATTAAAAAATAAAAAGAAAATACAGCATAATAAAAAACATACATTTCTCAATTAAATGTACTGGATACATATAAATTTTAAGGGAAAAAGCAAAAAAAAGGAAAATGGTTTATATTTAAGTGCAGACTGACTACCTAGACCAAAAAAAAAAAAAAAAAAAAACTTAAAAAAATATCATAAAACCTCTAGTTCTCTATGACTAATATCCATATGGTTGGAGTATCGTCACTATGGAAGTGATTTTGTTATGTTTGCATATGTTATACTTTACTGGTAATTTACATGATGGCTTTTAAGGCCCTGGCAGACATGTGGTTTTTGGAAACAAGATTGGATTAAAAAAAAAAAAAAAAATCACTGCTAAGACGCAATAAATCTTATTTTTTTTTTGGTCCTCCAATATTCAAGAAAAGGGATAATTCACTATAACATTTTCTTACCACCCAAATGCCTCAACCTATACATTTTAAACCTTTTTAAACATTGGTTATATTGCCCAACTTCGTTATTGAAAGGATATTAACAAGACATTATTTTGGCAAATTAAATCTTAAACATGGCTTTTCAACAGGATTTAAAAGGTGACTATCCCTAGAGTTTCCATGTTAAAATGTATTTTTCAAAATCTTACAAGAGTAATGCTTAAAATATTGTACATAGTTAACCTAATTAAAATAATTAGCTTCAAAATGACAAATTGATAAGCTAAGTAAAGCCTACACTATGTAACATTTGCTTGGAAACTTGATTTGTCAGTTATGCATAATAAAAATTCCAGTCATCAAGAAAATTACAAAAATTTTTTTTATCATAACATGATTTCTTTCACCCACCAACTTTTTTATCTTACAATAGATAAATACCAACATGTTCTCATTTTTACACTAAACCACACAGGATTGGTGCATTTGGTTAGACTACCATTCGCATTGTTAAATTCAATTTTCTCTTTATATAACTTGGTAAAATTTCATTTCTTCTAGATTCCAAAAGTACCTACAAAATCCATGCAATTTTACCATTTTTAATATACTATGGAATATCATACAAAGTAAGGCATTTCAGTGTCATGTATAACCAAGTTACTGTCAATCCAAAAATTTTTGCACATCAATAAAAAGATATCTAAGAACTTAGGAACAATATTCTTCTCACTACTGTATAAAAATAACCACAATGAATAAGTATTTGTGTATTTACTCCATTGTCTCATTTCCAGAAACTGTGACAAGCTGTAAAGGTATTTCAGTGTTGGTAAGGATATCTTGATTGCTGGTGGTGGAAGTATTAACAGTTCCTATCCCTGAAACAGAACCTTGTTGAATATTTGCAAGGATAAGTGTTGTTCCTCCTGCAGTAATCAAAGTATCATCTCGTGCAGCTTCCACAGATGCCAGCACTGTACTGCTAGAGTGGATACCTTTTTTATTCTGATGTGTTTTAATATGTTTGGCAAGGTGATCACTTCTCATAAAGCGTTTTGAACATTCTGGACAAACAAACTTCTTCTCACCTGTTAAAGAAATTGAGTTACTTAGTTTTTTTAATTCAACATTAATAGACTCATTCTCTGAGAAAGAAAATAAGCCAAGACTGACAATTTTAGGGACAGGGAGCAGAATTCAATTAGAACTGTATTTGATTTATGAGCTGTCCCTGCAATACTTTTTCTTCAAAATAAATTTATCATCTTTATTTTTGGATGAAAAGCAATCTTCAAACTTATTAAACTATACACTGATATCAAATAAGAAACTAATACCTCAACTATGCCAACAGTTTGTTTTGAAACATGTTACAAGATACCAGCTTAAAAATGATGACCTGTAACATGTTCTTTAAAGAAAACTACAGTTTTAAGCTATACTTCAGATATTAACATGTCAGATCCTGATATTTAACCTTCCAACTCATAAATGCAAATTCAAGTAACTACACAAAGTACTTCAAGATTAAAGCCAAGACACAAGCTTGAAGTCTAATAAAGACTGGGTAGTCCCAAGAACTGGAGATGGTTACCTGATCTGATTTTAGTTGGAATAATCAAAAGCAAGCTTAATACATCATGATGTTAAAGTTAATAAGACTCTGATGCATAAATTTATTTTTCAGCATGAATAAAGAATATTTTTTAAAGTATTTTAAAACTACATTTTTCAAACACAAAAGACAGACAAAACTTCTATTATGCTAAAGACCCACTATGTGGGAGGATTACTAGAAGGTAAGGCAAAAGGCCAAACTAAAAGAAACACACAGAGAACTCACACAATAAACAAATCGAATACTTTCTTATTTTCTTCAAAATGTCTTACCTATCTCATTTCAGCAACTTTCCTCTCAGCAGGTCCTCATCAGACCTCATGCCTGAACTATTACAGTGACATGCTAGGCTTTCCCTCTCTAATCCAACAAATCAATGTCAGAAAAATCTTCCTTAAATACCAAATGTTATTAGAGTTACAAAAATTTACCATTGTACTAAATGGTATGGGTATGTAGGAGTAATTTGTAGATAACTAAATACTTCAAGGTCTCCACTACTTAACTTCCAAGGACTCTCTAACGTGGCTCAATCCTACATAAAAGAAATGTATTAACAGAATCTCATCTTCACTCATGACAAATGGAGCTCTCACTTCTTCTATTTGCATACTATTCTATTCTTCCGGGAAGGTTATTTCCCAAAGTTTCCCTTGAAACATTAGTTCTGGGAGATGCTCAATGACAAAATGGCACAATGAGAGGCTGCCACTACCTCCCCTACCTGAAGATGTATAGTGCTCATTAACATATTAATAAAGGTGCTCCTTGAAGGTACTTGTATAGTAAACCTCTTTAACACAGTGTTTCCTACACTTTGATCATAGACCTCTCTTCCCTTCTACACTGTATCTTTTCATATCCTGCTGATCAAATTCCACTGAGGAAAATTCTAGTACAGGCCCATCTTAAGGTCTTAATACCCAAAAATGCCTTGCTAGCCCAGTGATAATGATCTCTGCCTCTGGGCATACTTTATCTACTTTTTTATATTGTCAGTTACAGTTTCAAACAGGTTAAGTTCACCTGTCTAACTACCTGATGAGACAGAAATTAAAACAAGTAGCATAAAATACACTGCTACATATTTCATGGGTTACTTTATATATTTAGATCTAAGAGATTTCAAAGTTTCACCATAATTCTTCCTTCTAAGCTCTCTAGGCTTTGTAAATACATTATATATTTATCAATTCTTCAAATGTTGAGCACAGACTGATGATCATCTTGATCATTATATAGTAGTAAGAGAAAACTATCTGTGTATGTTATATTAAGTTAGAATTCAACTTGGGTCATTCCTAGGTCCATTTCATAAACGACCATACAAACACTATGTAAACACAATTAAATGAAAATCCTGACATCAAAGATGCCATGGTTATTACCCCTCAAAGAAAATAAGTTTTCTACTTATTTCACATATATTAAAACATGAGATCATCAGAGGAAAAGGAATTATTATTACAGTGTTAAGGAGGAAGAAAATAATGATCAAGAATAAAAGCATACAACTAATTTAGAACACTGACATAATTAATAAGATAAATGTGACTTAAGACATTCAATAAAATGAAAACAAAACAAAAAACTGTTTTGTTTCGTTTTTCTTTCTGAAAAAGAAAACAACACTAACCAAAGTCTGCATAAGATAAAACATTATTTTATAAGGTAAGCCATATGCCTTGTTTAGAATTAAGTGTTTTTAAATTGATGTTGAAGATAGAAATGTGATGTAAACAAAAGATTCAGTTCAGTAAGCTATGCTTAAAAAAAATTCAAGGTAGTATGCAGCCCTATAATTAATTTTTGTCTGTTAAAAGTAAAGATTAGTAACCTGTATGTGTTCTTCTGTGCCTCTGTAATTCATCACTTCGAGTAAATCTTTTACCACAGAACATCCAGTTACAAATAAATGGGCGCTCCCCAGAATGCCAACGAAGATGAGCTCTCAGATGTGAGGTCTTCCCATAGACTTTACCACATCCTGGTATATGACAAATGTGTTGCTTCTTTTTCCCAAGATTGGTACCTCTAAAAAACACACACAGAATAATATATACTTAAATGAAAATATTCAAACAGGCAATACCACTCATCATATTCAACATGCTGAATTTCAATTAGAAGACATTATCACCATGCGGTCAATCAGAAACCAAAACCATTTAAAGGCAATTTAAATAAGAACTTGGAAGTTTTACATGTTCTTTTACTCCACAACTAATGTGAATGCTATCCAAATGTAAATATGTTCAAGAAATACATAATTTAAAAGGACATTTAATACATAGAGTGTATAATAAAGCTATTTATTATCTTGTCAGAACCATTCACAAATTCTATGCATAGACCCAATTCAATTAAATTAGCTGAACAGGAAAACTAAATGGTCTATTCAAAGTCATGATGTCAGCTCATTTAAAAAGTAAATAAATCAACAACAGATGCATTAACTCATCACAGGTACAATTAATTAGGTGCCTTAATCAGGCTTTAAATTAATATGATATATGCATTATTTATTCACATATTTGTATGGCCACACCCTGAATATACACTGACTTACAGAAAACCAGAGGAAAAAAATCTAGACAAAGCTGTCATCATAGATCCCTAGAATTGTATGAAATTAACTTACAGTTAAAATTCCCTTACTAATAACCATGCAGATACCCCAAATTATAAATCAGAGACATAAATAAAATGCAGTTTTTCCACACTGCATAGTTTTACATCTGTTACATTTCAGTACTTGATACCAAGAGCTTAGGAGATATGTGCTTAGATGGGTGAACACAGGTATCTTAGCCTAAGCAAGAAGGAAACTTTTTTGACTCCAGAAATTATATTCAAATTGTATTAAACACTACAGAAAATGTTATTACTCAACCTCGACAATAACAAAAAAGGCTAGTTACTGAATAAAGACAAATAAATGAGTTTATATTTTTAAAAAATGACATTTTAGACTCATCAATTGTCAAAATTTTATTATATAAACTTCGCAGTTTCTCCGAGATTAAAAAAAATACATTTAAGACCCCCACCCCTCCTCCCACAATCTCAGTCTAGGTATACAGCCTGTAAACCGTCCATAAGCCTGCAAATCCTCCTGTATGTAATATACCTATTGTTTCTCAAATTTTACTGGAAAAATGCATATTTCCCCACATTTATATTCAATGTACTCACACTCAGTAGCATGTGAAATTGCCATAGGACAAACAGTGCTAAACGGTGCAGTGCTGGCTGTTAGGTGCCATAGGTGTTCTGAACAGGGAGACATCAATGTGGGCTCCAGTAGTTAGAGAAGGCTTCGTGGAGAAGGTGGGTAGGATTTAGATAGAAAGGAGGGAAGGCATTCCAGGCAGAGGAATAGCATAAGTAAAGACAAGGAGGAGTCATGCTGTTGTCTCAAGGGCAAGGATGTCATAATCTAACACAATTCTAGTTTTAGCTCCAGTCCACCCCCAATTTCTACAACTCTCTTCAAAGAGCTGAGTTGAGTGAAATAGGTTTTGTTGGCTCACCTGCAATGCCAAAGTCTTAACCAAAGCCAACAGTATTTCCATTTAGTTTAGCTCTTTTAAATTTATTTTTGAATGACCCTAAGAAAAAGAGCAATGTCTGTGGCTATTGGTGTACAAACCGATTTTACATATTGTGTTCACCATAGCAATTTCACAGAGAACCCAATTCAGTTGATTCTGTACTCTTAACTTCCTGCCTCTCTTCTAAGCCTACCACTCAGGTGAATCAGTGTCTTTTATAAATTCAAAAGCGCTACTGCACTAACTCTGCAAAATTCAGCCTGAGAGCAGGAACAACGCACAAGACTAAAATAAACTACTGTGACAAGTGAGTTTTCAAAGAACCAAAATGCCAGGAAAGATATTTTTTCATCAACTGAATTATAAGGAAACAAAACATATTTATTGTCTGAAAATGAGACAGGCATATAAGAAAGAAAAAAAACGAAGACAAGGCACACAAAAATATACAATATAAGGGAAAAGCCCAATACCCATGTCCAAGTTTCTATTTAAAGAAAAATTTCACTCAAGATATAGATATGCTAGATATGGACTTATGTATGGCATGTGATATGAAGAAAAAGAACTTAAGTAAATTTCTTAACAACCTTTAAGTAATAAAAGATTACCATTAAGTTTTCTTCTTGATTTATATATTTACACCAACTATACCTATTACATGACCTAAAAAAACTAACAATTTTAAGTTCATGTTCTTGACTTCTTAAACTCACTCCCAAAGTTTTAATAAAGCAAAGACAGACCAATACAATGAAGCAAGCTAAACTCTGAGTGGAAGGATTAAGAAAAGTAAATGGAGTCTTTTGCGTGGGACAGGAGAAACAAAACACAAACTGAAATGCTGACAGGAAAAATAACAGATTTTACAAAATAACTTATTTTTCAAAAAATGGGTTGAGGTCTAATTCACACAAAACCTATATAACAATAATGTCCTTAGAATTTATTTTACTATCGTCTCTTCTACCAGAGTATAGAGTTTCTGAAGGCTGGTTCTGCTTAATAAATACTGGCTAAATGCCCAAATGAATATAATTTTTAAATATTTAATTATATTTTACACCTTGGTCAAAAAGATAAAACAAAATTTAGGTCTTTAAAGATGCCACTTTACACACACTATAATATTCTTTTAAAGAATATTGCTGAAAGAAAAAGGCCAATATTCTAAAATGCTTAAAATGCCAACTATCTCACCTTTGCGTAATGGGATTTACTATATGTTATGCTTCTATTAACTGGATGTAGCAACTGCCAATGATGATTGTGCCTCTCATGAATATATTAGCTGAATTTTGTGCAAATGAGCTCTAAGAAACAATATAATTTCTTTCTTAAGAACTTCAATTTTAATTGCTCAGAATAAATTATTTTAAAATGAACTCACAGAAGTTCTAGAAAAATGAGTATTTTTAAAATCCTCAGTTTGAGGAAGACTTAACAGCATGATTAAAATGCATCTCAAGTAAAAATTTTGTGCTTAAAAGTTTGCAAACTGTTAAGTGAGAATTCTCCTTACTTGTATAAACTGTATAAACAATCACATTTTGCAAACCACTGAAAAAATTGAAAGGCAATGTAAAACTGGAAAAAATATCTGCACATATGACACAGACAAATTAACAGATTCACAGAAGACAAAAATAATTACAAAATTTTTAAATGGTAAAATAACAAAAAGTGTTCAATCTCAATCTCACAAAGTAACAAAAATATACTATTAAGTAAAACAATAGTGAGGCATTACTTTTCATCTCTCAGACTTTAAAGGTTTTAAAAAATGATAAAATTCATTGTTGGCAAGGGTGTGGGCAAACAGACTCTCATACACCACCGATGGAATACAAATTGATGCAACTTGCTAGTAGACATTTCCCTTTGATCCAACAATTCCACCACTGCCAACTTACACTGATGAAATAATCAGACAAATGTGCAGACGTATGTGTAAGAATTAATTGACAATAAAGTCCCAAGAAGTTTTTAAATTCTTATACATCCACACACTAGAATACTATAGTCATAAAAAATTGATCCAAGCTTTTTGTAGACGTGGAAGTATGATCACAAAAATTTTCACAATAAGAAGAACAGACATGTAAAGCAGAGAAGGTGACTCTACTTTAAAATATATTTAAAGTCTGGAAAGATAAATACAAAAATGTTAACAACAGTCATCCGGAAGTAGGGTAGAAATCTGGTATTATTTTAATATTCTTCTATAAATTTATGAATTTTTTGAGCATGTTTTAGTTCAATAAATGTAATTTTGAAACTTTCAATTTAAAGGAAAAAAATAAGCAAAACACATGCAAAGCCATGACCCTCAGGTTTGACTTTCATGAACAATTTATCTTGAAAGTTCCTCTAAAAAGGAGATAAACTTCAGAAAAGTTGTTGTCTAACCAAATTCCACACTAATTTATTTAAATTGACCAAAACATTGCAAAGAACAAATAAAACAAGTGAATAATTACTATTAGTAAATACAAATGCCTAAGGATCAGATGCAGAACCAAATTTACTCAGGAGGCAGTACAGTGGTTAAGATAGGTCCTAGAGTAAGAAACTGGGTCCAAATCCCAGGTGTACATGCTCTTAAAAACCATTCATCCTCTCCATGCCTCACATATATAAGACTATCTAGAACATAGTAAGCTCTCAGTATTAACAATTAGTCATTATTATTAATGTGAATGGGCTGCCCAGTGTACAAATCAACTTTTCAAAGGCAGGTAGGCTCTATTAGATCAAGTTCATTAACTCTATTAGTAGATTCCACCCCCACCCCACCCCTGGTCTATTTAAACAGCTCATTTCTGAGAGAGGTATATTAAGATATTTCACTATGACTGGAGGATTTGGTTAGTACGTCTTTAGAGTGCTATCAGTCTTTTCTCTATATACTTCAAAGTTATGGGGAAAAGGTACCATGGCTAGTAAATCTTATTGATGAAAACTTCATGTTATTAAGAAATATATCCCTATCTATCCATTTGATTAGGTGAAAATATCAAATAGATATCAAATGATACCATGTCTGCTATGCATATTTCCTTTTTGTTAACATCTGCCTAATAAATCTCTTTCATTCCTTTATTTTCAATATTTCAGTGCAAATTTAAGATGTTCTTTATTATCAATATAAGGCTGGAGTTTGTTTTTTAAGGATGATCGGAGACTCAATTTCTTAATTATTAAGCTTAATCCATCCACATTTAATGCAATTACTGATGTTTAGAGTTTGTCATTTTTTTCTTAATGTTTATTTTTAAAAACACTGAACAGAAATATTACAGTTTCACTTTTTTAAAAACTCCACATTAATGCTTATTATTCATTTCTGTTGAAAATGGAAAATATACTTTATCACCAATTTCTAAACTTATTTTTATATAATAGTTAATCCAACTTTTTAATCAGTATTAAGTCAAATTTCATTTCTGGTTTGCAAATTATCTGATATGGGCCTGTTAAATGGCATCTTATACTTCTTTTTAAAGTAAACTAATTTTAGTTTTTTAAAAAAGGCATTCAGAACTAAAAATGTGACTTCACATATTTTGTTCACTAACTTTTTCTGCACACTCATACAGACAAACACACAAGATGATCATGTAGTGAATAATTTCCCTTAATTAGGTGACAGGGCATGCAGCATTTCAAAAATTAGGATGATGATATCAGCAGCCTAAAAAAAAAGTATGTTGCATGTGTGCATACCTCCCACCACCTTCTTTACAGTTGGGACAGGTGCAAGCTACCCTTCGAAGTCTTTTTCCTTCTTGATGTTGTTGGTCCCCTTCTTCATCTACCACCTGTACTCTTAAGTGTGTTAGATCATTGGTATTCAATGTAGAATCACCACTGAGCTGCCACTCTTCAGGATCAGGTTCTTCTTCCTTGATCCTAATATCTAAAGAAAAAAACAAATACAGATGAGAAGCAGCCCACTGGCCCAAAAAGATAGCAAGAGATCTGAGCTTCTCTAAAATAAAATGAGTAAATAGTATGTATACGTAAAAAAAATCATCTGTTGGTGGACCATAATCATTGCTCCCTGTTGTGGATTATTTTTTTTAAAACAAATTGTTTTATTCTAAATATCAGATATTAAGCCAAAAAGAGAGCATGAGAGCTTTTTTAAAATTCAGTAAGAAAGCCAATTTTTTTTTTGAGCAAGCTGTCATAAAACAACCTGAAACTTAATCATAACTGTTCAAACAGTCAATATATCTAACGGTCAACTCAGACTGGAACAAATTCTAATGCCTTAAACCTCTCTTGTACAGTATGTATCCATTATACCCATTTGTAGAAACTATGGGAATGGAAAATGTAGGTATTATGGGAATGCAATTATGTCTACCTGTACGTACTATGAAATTATTACTCATTAACCTAACCTTTAAAGTCAATCCTTGCTAAAATATCCATAATGGCCACGACCACAGTATCACTGTGGAAGGAGGTACCTATGTATGAGAGTTTTTATTTTCAAGGAATTTTATTATAAACCAGACTGAGAAACAAAATGAGCATGCAATGGTGAAGCAGAGTGGATATGGCAGGAAGCTACATCATTTTCTCAGCATAGCCAAACATCTTTCTTTATATCAATAATGTTATGATATCATTTTCTAAGTGAGCGAAGAGATTTTTTCAATTCAGAAAAAACAAATTCTTTTAAAAACCAATATATTATTTAGCATACTGAATAGAATCATCTTTGGCAAAACATAAATTTCTGCCCATTTTTATTTTGATTTATGTAAACTAAAAATCTTAATAGAAAATTATTTTAGATCTGTATTAGTCATTAATAATTGGAGTCAAAAGTAGCATGAAGAATAAAATATGCTTTATCTAATATCTCCTGAATTTATACTACTGAAAACTAGAATGTACAACCAAGAAAAATGCCTCAAATAGTTTAAATTTATCAGAATAACTACAACTAAAAATCAAGGAGGGAAATGGGAAGAGAGAGCACTCTGGCCTGGGCAACAGGCTATATTGTGGTGCTGCTCACTGCAACAGTAAACACTAGAAAAGGTTCAGGTGGGGGTAAAGAAGGACAGTTAATGAGTTCAGTGTTGCTGGTCATGGAGTTTGAACTGGTGTCATACAACCAGTAGAAAAAAAAAGTTGGACCTGCACAGATGGAGTCCATCCAAAGAAGTAGGTTAGAAAATTCAAAGGCTATGAGTAGAATGAGAACAGAATTAGCCTGTGAAGAACGCAGATATTTAAAGAACAGAGAAGAGGAGGAACCTGTGAAAGAAGGAAGTACCCAGGAAAATGTGCTATAATGAAAGAAAGGAAAGACAGAAGTGGTCAACATCAGATACTGTAGAAAAATAAAGACATCAAGACAGAAACTAAGAACATGGGCAATAAGCAAAAGAGTGTTTAATAACAAGTATAGTTAAGTTTTTCAAAACATCTGGCTTGAGAGGAAGACAGAAGCATGACAGTACAGGCTGCAGGGGACCAAAGAAGAGAGTCTGGGGAGGGAGTGTTTTGTTCAGTTTGTGAAGACAGGAAAGACTTGAACATGTGTACATGTTTATGAGAATGATCCATTACAGAGGGAGAGACCGAAAACACAGAAAAAAGTCTCTAAGAAGTCAGGAGGGGATGATGATCCATAGCACTTACAGGTTAACTGAGGGAGCACAGCCACCTCTTTTTCTATTACATGAGAGAAGAAAAGATATAAGCACATTCTTTCATTCATTCAATAAATAATCAGCTACTATGTGCCATGAACTGTGTTAGACCTCAGAGGCAGAGAGAATTTGATGGCTGAAAGTTAAGGGGAAACTGGTTTCTATTTCCCCAGTGAAAAGATGAAGAATTAGATACATATAAAATTCACCCAAACACACAACATAAATGAGTACTGATCACTATAATCAGGTGTCCACCTGCATCATTATGACAAACATTTAAATACTTGCACAAACACTTCAGAGTATTAGCTTTTTTACAAGTTAATTAAAAGAGCATGCAAATAGCATGTATCCCATGTTGGATAAATTTTAAGTCCATAAAATGAGGATTTTTTAATATTTCTAATTGGATTATAATTGCTTTACAATATTGTGTGGGTTTCTGCCATACATCAACATGAATCAGCTAAAGGTATACATATGTTCCCTCCATCCCACCCATATGGTAGTGTATATGTTTCCATGCTTCTCTCTCAATTCATCCCACCCTCTCCTTCCCCCACTGTGTCCACAAGTCTCTTCTCTATGTCTGTGCCTCCACTGCTGCCCTGCAAACAGGTTGATCAGTACCATCCTTCTAGATTTCATATGTATGTGTTAATATATAGGATTTGCTTTTCTCTCTCAGATGGTTTTAAAGCTACTCATTTTACATTATTTGTGACAAGATAGCAAGGAAAAAGGAGGACAGAATGCTAAATATAGATAAAGGAGTCTAGAGAGACAGAAGAAAGATTTAAAGAAAACACACAGAACAAATAAAGCACCTGATGAGATCAGGCAAGAATGAAATACAACCTGACTGAGGGGATAACGATATTAAAAGGGCATTCCTACTCCAATTGCTAATTCTCTTAATGGAACCTATAAAATAATTTTAACATGACCGAGCAACTAACACTAACCTTTACTTATCCTTCAAGATTAGTTCAAATGCCACCTCCTTTATACATGCTTATGTTAGAATTAATTCTATTTATTGGTTCACACATCCCTTTAGATAATGCTTTACTCAAAAGTGCTCAGAAAATACAATCTGACTAAATAAACAAAACCTTCCTTAAGGAGGATTTCCAGTATAGCTAATAATCTACCTGGAAAGACTGTCCCCCTGGCTTCACTATGCTCCTTCTATCTATAAATAACACATATAGGTAAGATTTTAAAATTTTCATTTTACCCCAAATGGATACTTCATTTTCTAGCATCACTTAGTGAAAAAAAGAAAAGTCAGTCCATATGAACAGGACCACTTAGTGCTCACTAAAGACAATAAATTAAACTGCCCAACAGGTGTTATATCCGATTTTTTCACTGGGATATTATAGAATACTAATCATAAATTTACCTAATTCTAAATAACCCCTTTGCCAACCTGCATTATCAATTTAAGACAGACAAACCTTCAAACTATATCTTTAGTACCAGGCAGTCAAGTATCTTCCTCAGTATCTTAGTATAGATAATAGAAAAATATTTTTTACCAAGCTGTTATTAGAGCTCCACATGGATCCAGTTACTCTTAGAAATCTACTGTTTATAAAGCTCAGGAGAAGGGTAAGTAATACCCATTAAAATGGGCCACAGAAGTATGGAAAGGTATTCAATATTATTAGACACCAGAAAAATTTAAATCACACTGAAACACTCTACACATCCAAGATGGCTAAAACTTTTAAAAACAGACCAGGCCAACTGTTAGCAAAGCAGTACAGCAACTGAAACTCCCACACTGCGGGTGGGTGTGTAAATCCGTAAGACGACTTTGGAAATCTTTCTCTCTCAAAACTGAACCTACGTACACCCTATAACCCACGCAATTTCACTCCAACAGATATGCATATACACATGACATGTATATACACATGACACTGAAAGTACAGAAATTCACCCTAAACTGGAAGTAACTCATACATGTTAGTGTTGGAATAGGGAGAAGAAAAAATCATGATATATTCATTCATACAGTGAATATGTTAACACAATGAAAATGAACTTACATGCAACAGGAACATTACCAACACCTAATTTTAAATAGAAGCAGACAAACACACAGACTCTCACATATAATGCCTATATCTATAGATAGATATGCCATTTAAATAAAGCTCACAAAGCTCAAAGCAGCAGGAAATACTACTACACAATGACTGCCTACCTTTACAATGAATAATGACTGGGTACAGAGAGATTGCTGAATTGCTGGCAATATCTTATTTCTTGATCCAGGTGGTAATTTCTCCTATGTATTCGTTTTATAAAAATTCATCAAGTTATACACATATGATTTGTACATTTTTCTGAATGTATACTACACTTTGAAAGATTCTAAATACAAAAATTTAAAGTAACCTACAGGAGATTACTTAGGGAGTCTTAAAGACAGTCAATGTTTGTTGTGGTTTCATCTCTAGTTCCTATATAACCAATGACCCCCTTCTCCCACCACTGGAATTTATAAACAAAAAAACCTTAAGATGACTGTGCTCCAAAAATTAAGTCCTTAATTTGAAGTTTATAATATAATGTTATTCACTCTACAAATATGTGAGTGCTTACAATATGCCAGTCACTGTTCTAGATTTCAAGGATAAAAGTTAACAGGAGTTAAGCTCATACGTCTATCAAGTTTACTTTTTAGTGAGGGACAACAGGACAAATAAACGAGTTAATATGGCTGACTCTTGAACAATGCAGAGGTGTAACTTACGTCCCTCTATACGCAATCTGAGGGTTCAACGAACTGCAGATTGTGCAGTACTGTTCTATTTACTACTGAAGAAAACTGGGTGTCAATGGATTTGAGCAGTTCAAACCCATGTTCAAGGATCAAATATACAGTTTTGTTGACTGGGTTAAAAAGTACTTGGTTGATACATCTGTGGCTCGTGGGTTGTACTTTTTTATTATTACACTTTGTGTGGTGGTGAATTGTTACAGTAAAAAAGTAGAGTAGGGACAGACCGAAAGTCAAAGGAGTGAAGTACTTGTTTTAAATAGAGTGGCCAGAAAAGGTTTTGCTAATACAATAACATCTGACCCTGAAGGAGGACAAAGAGCAAGAAGGTGGGGGCAAGTATTCCATGTAAAAGGAAGAGCAAGCTGGATGTGTGCTTGTTGTGTTCAGAGAAATACAAGGAGGCCTATGTGGCTAGAATGAAATGAATATGAAGGAAGAGTA